GACATATTTTTAAACCTCTTGTCTGTGTTCCCCCTAAGCTAAGCATAGTCCATGGGACGCCATCTTAGCTCAAGCTGCTATACCAAAAATACTGAGTGACTTAAACAATAAACATATATTTCTCACAGTTCTGGGGGCTGACAAGCCCAAGATCAAGGAGCTAGTAGATTTGGTGGCTGGTGAGGACCTGCTCCCTGGTTCACAGGCAACCATGCTGTGTTCTCACACGGTGGAGAGAGAGCTAGCTAGCTCTGTGGTCTCTCTTTCTAAGAGCACTAATGTCATAATAAGGGCTCTATCTCATGACCTCATTGCTTCCTAAAGGCCCCATCTCCAAATACTATCACATTGGAATCGGGGTTTCAGCATGTGAATTTGAGGGGGATGCAAACATTCAGTTCATAAATCCCCACCTTCCCTTCCCCAGTCAAACCCGTTGGGCTCCAGTACATGTTGAGGTAATGGTCCTAGCTTGCTATGGAAAAGTAAATGACATGGAGAGATTTTAGGCTAACACACAAGGGTTATTTCTAGCCCATTTATATAACACTGACCTTACTTAGGTATATTACTTGATCTCCTTGTCCTTAATTTTCTTTGTTTGTGTAACGGGACCTATTGCACGGGTCGTGGTGAAGCATATGTGAGTTAATATGTATAAAGGGCTAAGAGGACCTGATAAGCACTCAGTAAGTGTCAGCTGTTACTCACCTGTCACCCCCTTCCCCATTCCATTTAGGGTAAAGAAAATAATCTAAGTGACCCACAGAACCCAGCATCATCTAGCATCTTCTACCTAGCATCCTCTTAACATCAGCTGGCTCCCTGCATCCCCTGTGCCTGCCACCATTTCAATCCCCGGAGGTGCCAGCTCCTCCCAAAGCACAGGCCTTAACTACACCTGCCCCTCTGTCTGGAAGGTTCTTTCCTCCTCTTGCTACTTAATCGATTCCCACTCAGGGTTCCAACCTCAGCTCAAATGTTCCTTCCTCTAGGAAATCTCCAGTCTCACTGAATTAGCCAAACCGTGCTCTATTCTTTTCCCTAATAGTTGTTATGGAAGTTGAAATGTGACATTAATTGGTGACGTTTGAACCTGTCTGTCTCCCCCTTAGCCCATGGCTCCACCATGGCATGTACTGTCTGTTCTGCCCACCATTTTATCGCCAGCACATAACGCAATACCTTTCACGTTGATCCTAAACATATGTTGAATGAATGAGTGAGCGGATGGCTAAGGGAACAAATGATCACCCTACTTTTCTTCTCTGCCTTGAGCCAAGCAATTCAGGGTAAGGGTCTTCTTTTCCCACTGCAAGTTGCCAAACATGATAAAAAGCATCTATCCAGCATGGTTTGCCTTACATTTTTTTTTTTTTTTTTTTATCCTTTAGGGTTTTGGATTGTTTCAGAATTCCCCCAAAGACTTGTTTTCCTGGGCACATGATCTGAAACCAAGGAGGCTTAAGTAACACCTTAATGAGCCAACCAGCCACTCAGTGTATATTATTTGTGACCGGTACTCCCTCCTGAGATGGGGGTGGGCGGGGACTGCCCATGCCCTGTACCTACCAGCGTGCTATAATAAATTCTTCCCCCTCCCCCCTCCCCATTTCCTTGGCTTCATCTTGGCCTGGCACTGATACGAGTTGGGCTCTGTGGTTACCGAAACAGCGGATCACTCCTCTTCTTTGAGGATAAGGAGCCATGTGGGCTGAAACAAAGCTAGACCTGGGACCTGCGGGGACTGACGCATTCGCCACCAACGGCCCCTCCCTCTGTCTTTCCACATGACCTGCAAGGTACATCTTACTTCCAGGTTTTGCCTCTCTCTGCATGTTTGACCTGCTCCACTCTTGTTACTGAGTCGTTTATTTACTCTCTACTTTTGGTGGGATGAAAAGATGAGTTGGGCCACAGCATGGGTTGCCATGCATCACGTGGACCAGCTGCCTTGGGTCAGGGGTGGAGTTGGATCAAACTCGACTATGCATGGCCACCTCTGATGTCCTTTCAGAGGAGCTCAGGAGGGGACTTCCCTTAAAAGAGCTGTGGGCATGGCAGCGGGACCACCCCAGCTACAGTGTCTCCTATGGAGTCCAGTTTTTCCATCGTAAATGTCCACAATCTTGCACAGTTCTCTGGAGTTAGAACCAATATCGTATACATTAAAAGAATAGTTGTCTATTGCAAAAAGAAATATTAAAATATATAATAAAATTAAAACATAGAAAGACTATTAAGATAGCATTTATTTAAATTTTTTGAATAGGTAATATGATCACAACAGTTAAAAATTCAAAAATTATGGAATAGTATACAGTAACAATTCTCTCTCCCACCCTTGTCCCCCGTCCATCCAATGCCACACCCCATCCACAAGAAGTAGCCACTGTTGTTTCTTAACCTTTTTTTTTTTTAAATAAATATAGACTCCAAAGAAATTGAAAAACTAGTACAGAGAACTCCCAATATAACCACTGTTTTAAATTTATAGTATAAGTCTTCATAAATGTTATGAAGATACAAGCACATATAAATATGTAGTATTTTCTGCTGTTTTTATTCCGATGGTTCATATTATACACAATTGCATATCTTGCTGCTATAGACTGGGGGATGTGATGATATGAGGAGGTAGGGCCTTCGGGGGTGACTTAGGTTTCTGTGAAGCTGTGAGGTCATAAGGGTGGAGCCCTCCTGAGTAAGACTAGTGCCCTTACAAAAAAAGACATGAGAGAGAGAGTCTCACTTTTCTGCCATATGAGGACACAGTAAGAAAGCATCCACCTTCAAATCAGGAAGAGTACCCTCACCAGGAATCAAACTGGCCCCCACCTTGATCTTGGAGTTCCCAGCCTCCAAGAAGGTGAGAAAAGTCTTGGAGTTCCCAGCCTCCAAGAAGGTGAGAAAAGTCTTGGGGTTCCCAGCCTCCAAGAAGGTGAGAAAAGTCTTGGGGTTCCCAGCCTCCAAGAAGGTGAGAAA